CCTCCCCCGCCCACTGGCGCGCCCCTCCGCCGCCGGAGGAGGAGGAGAGAAAAAAACGCGCCCGCGAATGCCGAGCGATGCTCCGCTTTTCTCGCCGCGATCCGTCCATCGCGTCGGGCGCGCCCGCTTCGTCGCAGCGGCGGAGAAGGCACGCGGCGCTCTGCCCAGTACGTGGCCGCTAGGAGGATCTGGCGCCGGGATCAATGCGTGACGCAGCAGCCGACGGGACGGACTTGGGCTCGTAATCGGGAATACAGTGAGAGATCGTGTTGGGGGAACAGAATGGCAAGATGGTAGGGAAACAGAAAGGAAGGTCTCGGAATCGAGAGTAGAATGCCAATTCTTGAATTTGTCAATAGAATTGCAAGTTATCGAGTCGGGGATAGAATGACAGCTCATGGAATAAAATGACAGATTTGAATTTATAGGTTGGGTGGAATACATAGATTGCATCTGAAATAGAATAACAGGTCTCTCAATTTGGTTGAGAAGCAATAATAATGGGAGTAAAATTGAGGGAATTGGGAGTAAAATGGCAGGTCTTGAATTTGGCTATGGAATTGCAGGTTATCGAATCGGGTATAGAATGACAGGTCGTGGAATAAAATGACAAATTTGAATATATAAATTGGTAGGTCTTGAAATCAGGAGTACAATCGCAACCCTTGGTATCGAGAATACAATAACAGATATTTCCATCGAGAATAGGATGTCAATCTGGATGAGAAGCAGTAATAATGGGAGTAAAATTGTGGGAATTGGGAGTAAAATGGCAGGTCTTGAATTTGGAAATAGTCATCGTCATCGAATCGGGAATAGAATGGCCGGTCGTGGAATAAAATGACAGGTTTTGAAATCAGGAATACATAGATTGGAATCAGGAATACAATAGCAAGTCTTGGAATAGATAATAGAATAACAGATATTTGCATTGAGGATAGGATGGTAGGTGTCTCAGTCTGGATGAGAGGAAATAATAATGCAAAAAATATCATATATTGTAAGATCTTGCTTTCTGAATTAGGAAGGGAGTTCCCTTACAGTTGGGAACGAGAACCCATGAACATGCCTCGTGTTCATGAGCCAAATATAATTTCAGTTCGTATGAGAATAGATCGTACAACTAGCCATAGATGGTCTTACTATCGCAAGGAGGATGTTAGACCAGACTAATGGGAACATAGTGAGAGTTCTCGTAGACGAGAATAGGACGTCAGATCATGCAGATAAATGCATCACAAAATTGGAGATCATACGAACAAGAACAACGTGAAAGGTCTTTCAATCACAGCAAGGTGGGTGATAAGGCAGAGACTTAATTGTGATCAATGTGTTCAATGAATAGTAAGATATAAATGAAGATTACATTTTAGATAACAAATATGAACGTACAATGTACAACGAACAGCGGTGTAGTGTTTGTGATTATCCATCACGTAGATTATTTTTAAACTTGTTTCCTGCTATTGATTTTCATTTAAAATGAACAACTATATACGATTGTGTAGCTAATATCATGGAAAGGCATATATCACATTTCTATCTGATTGGAACCTGACCATATCTCAAATTTCGTAATATATACTGCTTTGATGTAGTAATTTCAAATTAGTGTTTCAGGAACTAACAAAAACTAGTAACCCTCAGAAAGCACATTCATCTTGTTACACAATACTTGTCCGTTCTGAAAACGTTTGTTTCCACGCAATTGATCATGAATTGAAATAGTTACGATAATTGGATTAAAGTACAATGTATTAATATCACTATCGAGACTCTATCCTTAAGACCCCGCGATCAGAGACACTGTAGACAGCAACAATGCCAACTCTGAGCTAAACTTAGCGGGTGGTTTATGCCGAAATTTAGTGTACACATTAGGTACAACGTATAACACGAATGACGCAAAGCACACGTGTGCATTAAAACATTTATCATCTCCTGAAGCGTCATTGTTCTCTGCTTGCGAATAATCACATAGCGAGGCAGCTGACTTTTTGAGATTGAAAGGCAGTTTTGAATCAGCCTGTGTTAGCTACAATCTTTCTATACGCGATTCATTTTGACGGAGTTAATGCACAACACGATTTTACGTTTTGTGGTTAAAAACCTTTTGGTGATTGAAATGACAAAAACCAGCAAATGGATTAATGTCCTTTTTAAATCTCATTGGAGGGCGTTAACGAGAGATCAAAACGAAAAGGGGTCACTTGAAAAGTGCTGCTGTGTAAATGACAGAGCATCTGCCAAAATGGAAAGTTAATGTTCGGTTTCAGAAAATTGGAAAAAATCATTTGCTAATATTCGATGTACGAGAATGGATTTAATAAAACTATAAAATTTTAATAACTATTAAGTACAGCTTCTTAAAACTATTTTGAATATTTCCGTTTCCATTAATGGGTCACCATAATTATTTATTTTTACTTACAGAGATTAATAAATGCTGTTATTATTATTATTATTATTATTATTATTATTATTATTACTATTATTATTACTATTATTATTATTACGATTTATTGCTTCGTTCGACACTTTTGTCTTTCGAGGATTTTATGGTACGTTATAATAGATCGGTGAATGGTGTATTGGTGAACGACGATTTATAATCGGCTCTAGTTTGAAGATTTTAATTTTTGTTTTGTGTATGTCTGCATTTATGTGCAGTTTCAAACCCCTTGTGAAGAATGGTCCTAGAAGCCAGTAATGGTGACCACACTCTTTTAGTTCCTTGGATTATTATTTCTTGGGGGGTTTTGCAATGGCTGAGAGTAAATATTTTTAATTTGCTACAAAACTATTATCGTTAGTTTAAAATTTTATTCACATGAATTAAATTACGTCTGTATATTCCATTTCCGTTTTATCTATTTAGTGAATGATATATGATTTCTTGGTGACTATTAAAACAAATTGAAACATTTTTGAGTTTCTTAGAAAAACAGCATGGCGGATTACTTGTTTCTGTGAATTCGCCCATTTTAACCGAAAACAATTTAGTATCTTCTCTTTGCGTTGGGTTTTCCATCCAAAACTACCAGCCATTGACTTGTGTGGAACGTCTTGGCTTGAGTGCAGTCAGCGTGTGAGCCCTACGTGCCCCTAGCCCTCCCTGGCACGTCATCGCGACCCTCCCTGCCCGGGTCCCCACGTGACCTCCCCGCCCGCTCCGACGCCGTCGCTGATTACGCTGCTAATCCGCCCTGCGCGCTTGGTATGCCGCCCCCGTGGCCCCTCGCCGCCCCGCCCACCACCCGCCCCGGGCGTCGCAACCCCGAATTATCGCCCGCCGATCGGCGCGTATCGCCATCGTTTAGGGCTAAGCCCGCCTGATGGGCTCTGGCAAGCGCGAGCGGAGGGCGCGTGGCTTGGCGCGGCCCGGGCGCTTAGGGCGAATGTCCTGGGGGCGGGGGAGGGGGCAGAAGGGCACCTGGGCGACACGTGGTGCTGCCTGCTGGCTTCATCAAAGGGCGGTGCGCCTTAACCCCTTCCCATTGTGTGGTGCTCCCTCAGGAAGTGTAGGGGGGAAAGTTCGCATTGCAGACATTTCTATTAAGGGCGAGTGAGTAGAAACTCATGTTGAGAGAAAAGGAACGGATTTTACGGATTATTTATCTTTACTTCACAGGAATATGACGGTGCAACTATTATAGGCTTGAAATGGTTTACAGATGAAGGGCGAAAATGAAAGAAAATCGAAGATGATATCTACTGCAGATTTTTCTTCTCTTAATTATGAACACCGATTGTCTCCGTAACTTGGTAATCGTGATGAAGGCTGGTAATGTGAATTTTAATATTTTGCGTTATTACTGTACTTACATATTTTGTCATAATACGCTTTATGTTTCTGTAGCTAGTAGAGCAAAGTGCACTGTTGTTTTCAAACACTTCCCTTTGTATTTTCGTATCTGAAACATCTATTCAGCGTTACCTGGAAGAGGTGTTTGCATTTGATGTTGTGGAGAGAAGCATCCTATATAAGCGGCGGTGTGTCGACTGTGAAGTAACTCGTGCATCATTTCTTACTTCTCTCGGGGAATTCTTCAAAAACAATTTCCCGAAGAATTTTCCTTGAACAAGAAGCGGCCTCACGAATTTTTCAATAAAATTACCACTGTTGATCTTTTGAAGAAATCAAGAATTTTTCAACTATTAATCTTTCAGTTCAATATCATACTTTTAAATTTTCAAGATAAAAAAGTGCGTTTGTTTTTAATAACTTTTATTCTTGGAGCGAACTTTATCATTCTGTTTATTCCGAAGATTAAGCTGAAGATTGGGGATATTGCCTAAGGGAATTGAGAGTCGAAAAAATTCATGGAAATTCTGATATTTCCGTGAAAAAGAAAATTGCATACTTGGAGCGAAAGTGGCTGACGTATTCCAGTGAAAATTTCGTCCTGCATGGAATTTTTTCATCACGGAAAGGTTTAGTCCTTTTATAAAGATACAGGTATTCCTGTGTCGATTGTTATAATTTCTCTTTGATAATAACAAAATTTACAGGGAACCTGTTTATTGACATTAATACATACAGGTCAAAACATTCTAATATATTTCAAGATTGAATACATATTATCCTGATATCTTATTGTATTTTAACTTTATAACTATGTAATTTGTGGGGAAACGTATGATTCCGTGGTAATGTTTGTGTTTAAAGCTAACCACGCCGCAGGGCTGCAATGGCTGTCATTAGCCTTTCGGAAATTGAGTAAACACCGTCAATAGAAGTGTCGTAGAAATAGGACGACTCTCCCAAAAGAAACTCTTCCGCTCCCAAGTAACATCACATCGCACGCCGCATCTTAATCCCGCGACCCGAAACGCCCCGCAAACTCCGCAAGAGCAGAACGGAGGCGCAGCGCGGGTGCGCCCACAACAGAAAGGGGGCGTGGCGGGGCGGGCGAGCGAGAGCCACACAACGCGACGGACAAGGCTCTAGCGGGGGCCGACGGCCGGGGAGGACGGACCGGGGACGGGACGGGACGGGACGGGACATTGTGGGGACGACGCTGCTGCCATCAGCAAGCGACGCTCGTCCCCGCCCCGCCCCGCGCCTCGCCTGCCTTTGTGGCTTAATTGCGTTATATAAAAAGTTTTAATTCAAACGAGTTAATGTCGAGGAGGGCCCGTCGCGCTTTCTCTTCTTTTTCATAAACGCAATTGAATCTCCGCGGCTGGGCGGGACGCGCAGCG